GGGGGAGCAGTGTTAGTTGTAGGCGGGCTGACTGGACGGTATGATCGGATGGGTCACTGGGGTGTGTGTGTGCTGTTTGAATCAGGTATAATATCGGGCTGGGGACAAACCCAATCAGTTCTGACACAGATGGCTTCTACTTGACACAGCTACATATCTCAATAAACAAATCTTTACCAAAACAGTGTTGTTGGGAGTGAGTTCGTGCAAGAGTCTGACACCAGCATCCTCTCAGCCCGTGCCCTCCCTGAGTGTGTCTCGTCTTCCTGCCATAAATGGATTTACAAACTTGCCCAGGGGGAGCTGCTTCAGCCACAGTAACCATGGGAATGGTTTGCTCTGCAGAAAGTCCTTGTCATATTTATAGAGAATCGAGGAATCAAATGTGACACATATGGTCGACTGATTTATGTTTAGTCCACAACCAACCAATAAACCGGGAACCTGGGGTATACCAATCGGGCTGGAGGGGTCTGACCCTTGAACTGCTGGTGGCTGTGCAACCAGAGTCCTTTGGAGGAGAAGGATTATTGGGCTCATTTCAATCTTGCCCTGACCTGGGTGGCTCAGGCTAGCCCGATCGTATCAGATCTCTTGGAAGCTGCGCAGGGTCGGCCCTGGTGAGTGTCTGGGCGGGAGCTCTCTAGGGGGCACCGGGATCACGAAGTGGAGGCAGGCAGCTGTGATGCGGAGGCAGGCCCTGGCAAGCCACCTCCGAGTGTCTCTTGCCTTGAAAGCCCCACAGGGTCGTCTTCTGTCGGCTGTGACTTGACGGCACTTTCCCCCCACCCCTCCCCCACCGCTGCAATCCGGCTTCCAACCTGGTCCTGTAACTGAAACTGTCTGGTCGCCCTGGTGAACAATCTCTGCCAGGAGACAGACCAGGGCAGCACAGCCCTGTTGGTTCTCCTGAAATTCCCGTTGGCTTCTGATACCAGTGCTCGTGGGTATCATGGCACCACACTCCAGTCTTATCTCATGGATCAGGTCCAGAAGGTGGTACTAGGGGACAGCTGCCCAGGATCTAATCTTAAACTGGCATCTCAGTCAGACTAGATGAGAGATACTTAACTGGCCAGGAATCAAACAAAACCGTCACAGCTAACATTCAGATTGGAAGCAACTGTGGTAGGCCCAGATGACATCAGGCCCCAAACCACCCTAGATAACCTCTCTGAACAAGATTTCATCGGTGCAACTGCAGCAGAACAGAAAGTCTTCTTTGTCACCATCACCATTACCTTTGTAGGCCTTTATATGGGTTCTACAGCATGATCTATCTGAACTGGCATAAGTTTTTTTGTCAATGGCTCTCTAGCTGTCTCCTCCTCAACCTCTTCACAGACCTCAGCTCCCTAGTAAATGGGGGGGGGGGAATAAAAGGAGACCAATGAGCAGCCCTTTCATAAGTACCCTGCAAACCAGCATTCCATGGTGGCACACAGTTCGAGTCATCTAGCGGCACCCAGGACTCAAGCCTAGGTCTTCTACCACAGACCCACATGGCTACCTCCTAACCATGCTGATCCAAGGGCCTCTGCGGATCTCAAAATTCCCCACGCAAATATGCACATGAATGTGCTGTATGAAATCCCCTTGTCAGAGAGAAAACACACACTGCATTACATATTCAAGATAATTCTTTTCTATTACCTTTCCAGTTTTTGTTGATGAGTTCCTAATGCAGAATAATCCAGTTTTTGGATGCCCTGTCAGATTTTCAGATTTGAACATTCTAAAATAGCGTGAAAATACGAATGGTCACTTTTTGAGAAACACAAAAGTAAGCCTGGAATAGAACCACTAGAACTAAACGTGATAACTGACTTCTTAATAACAAACGCTAAGATCTTAAGTCTGATTAAAACTTGTAAAGCTGCTGAACACATGGATGATGCTCAAGGAACCAGGAACTCGTTCATTCTTTATAGGAAGTAGGCACACGGGAAACCACATAACCTGCCCACCCGCCTCTGGGCACCCTTTCATCACCAAGCAAAATGGACAAAAAGCCAATCGTGTAAGAAAAATAATATTAGTGTTAGCTTCACTAGGGGAACTGGAAGACAGAAGGGACAACACAAATGTGAAATGCATAAGGATTGGAATATAAAAACTGTTCCTTTCAGCAGGATTGGAATATAATTTTTTAATAATAATTATTATCCAATAATATTTTTTTCTTGCACCACTGGCTCTTTGCCCATATTCGTTTGGTTACTGGAGTGGCTCTTGTTGGCTTTCTACCCTTCCACTACAGCAGGACAACTGCTATTCAGTGAATGCCACGTGCCCAGATTTCCGGCTTCTGTCTCTGCTCCAGCCATCCCTCAACTTCCATCAATGTTTCCAATTCACTAGGGTCCACTTATACCTTAAGCAATTATTTACAAGGAAAGTAATTTACCTTTCAACTTCAAGGGAATCGGATGTATTGACAAATACTGAATTAGGCAGTTTAACCTGCAAAACAAAAATGCTAAGCTGTGAAGTCAAAAGAACAACAGCAACAACACAGCCATTGCTCCATGGATTTCATGATCATGTGTGTAGCAAGAGTGACCTCACTCAAAATCAATCATCAAGCCCCAGTGTTGGAAGCCTTCCACTCCACCCATCCTCAACTCCAAACAATTTGTTTTTTCCTGTAAACAAGATTAAATGACAGGCCTTGCACATTTGTGTTCTCAGTCTGCACTTTATACAGTCAGCCTGCACTTCCTGGTGAGATGCCAGCACACCCGAAAACCGCTTCCCGTATTGTAAAAGTCCTACCAGGTACCCCTGGAGAAAAAGAGCCTGTTATATCTTGTGAAAATCCCTATGACCAAAGTGCCTTCTGTATATTAATTTTGTAACAAATGGAAATAGCTCTGAGGACAGGTTACTCAGCGCACACAAGAGTACCCACATGTCCCATGGATCAGGCAATATTATGGGTTGGGGGCACATGCCTCTCTATGAACTTGGTGTCATCTTCGACAACGCATGGCCTTACTTTCTCATAGTCATCATCTGAGTCTGTGCCGGACACGCCTGGTTTTGAAAGTACTGCTGGTTTCTCAAACGAGGCACCTCGGAAGCTCTGCCCATCTGGGGGGGATCTCCTAGCAGAAACAGAACCTAAACTGAAATTGGAAAGGATACACTGCATTACATTAATGCAAGTAGACTCAGGCATAACAGTTCAGCTTCATGTTACTTCAACTGTCAATAAGTCCAGTGATTTTCAGATTGTGCCATATTCAGAGAATGTTTTACAACTGGATGGACACTGAGAGCCAGTGTGGTGGTTATTAGAGTGCCAGATTAGGATGTCGGACACTTGCTCTGCAGTGAATGTTCACTGTCTACTCACTCTCTCTCAGCCTAATCTACCGGGCAGGATGGTGGTTGTGAGGATAAAGGTTCGGGATCTACTCATCATGGAAAAGATTACATAAAACATAAAGCAAGATGACTATAACCCACAACACTTCAATTTACAAATGAAATGGCTACCATTCATAGAATATACAATGGAATCTGATATGCAACCAAATAATCCAATATATACTAAATAAATAAAAATAAGTAAATACAAAATAAGACAAGTGAACTCTGACTGTGATACACCTAAGACAACATGATTGCACTTTCTCGTAAAACAAAGAGTAGAATTGAGATTAACTACTAATAACTTTTTAATTTATGTAACCAGATAAAGAACACATAGAATAGTAAGCAGGAAATGATGAATATGGCATTGATGACACTAATACTGTAATAAGGAATAGTACTAATTTATTGTTCCAATTTAAGTAATATGTTGGCATTTATTCTGATATTAGTATGAGAAACTCTGTAAAATGAATTGATATCTATGTATCTATGTACCTAAGTATTCTAAGAAAAACATCAATTACAAAAAAAAAGAGAGAGAGAGAGAAAAAGGGAGAGCAATGTTGCTGGTCCCCACTAGGGAGAAAGGGGTGCAGCCATATCAACAAACACTTTGTGCCTCCAGTGCAGAGACCACTCAAAAACTTAACACCAAAATGAATTTTGTTCGTTGTTACGGTGCGACTGGTCTCCTGTTTTATTTCACTGCTAGAGGCTAACGTGGTTCCCCATCTGGAATTATCATCAGGACAGGGGAAGAATAATGGTTTATTTTTATTTTTTGTAGACTGGAGTGGCTACACAATCCTCTATCCAAGAGATGAAAGTTTTATCAAACTGAAGTTACGAAGCGAACGGCAATAGCTGGATGAGAACGGAAGCTGGAAAGTTTCCTCCAGAGCCCTTGGTGTGCAGTAGGAACTCTGCCCTTCCATTTAACCTCACATTGGACTTCCTCAGGTGAGGGCCGCCACTGAATGTGTCAGCTCACGGGGGCCAGATGTATCCTCCGCTACTCTGCAGAGCTCTGCCGTCTGCATCCTTTTTGTGATGGCCGAGACACAGTCAGTTCAAGTAATGACACAGTGACCTGATTGTCTAAACAGCACAACACAGCACAGAGCTTTTATCACCTCTGTGCTGCCTTTCCCCCTATTCTGAAGCCAAGGCACAACCGGGGAAAGAGCAAAGGGAATTCTCTCCAGCTGTCTGCAGATACCCGGAAGAGAAAGTAGCCTGGCCAGTGATTTGTTTACCTGGAGACAACACAAGACTGCTTCTGGTCAGTCAGAGAAAACTTTCCTGATATTCAAAGACTATCCATGGCCCAAGGCTTGGCAGTAAAGAAAAAAGGCCAGCCGTTGGTTTAGAAAGCCCTGGCTCAAATTGCAGGCAAGAAAGGAACAGGGAGGAGATCTGGATATTTGTCTCCCAGTGATATTTCCCCTCACATGTTGCTTTGTGCTCCTTCAAGAAAAAAAACCACCTTGGAGTTTTTAAGTTCATAATCCTAGAACAGCAGGGTTTTAAAGCTTGAGATAGCCAGAGTCTGAGATCAAGGGGGAAAAAGGTCTTTAGGTTCATGCACATATTGACACGTGAGCCACTAATTATTTTGTGAACAACATTCGACTCCAATTCCAGAGCAAAGGTGTGGACACACGCATGCAAGAGGGCAAACTCATTTCTACCCCATGACTGGATATGTATCAGAGCCTGTGGCTCAGTTCAGACATCACAGGAAACCATGTCTTATTTTAACTCTGGTTAGTTGGTAAAACCAGAATTCAGCTCACAAGTGATCATTCAAAGCCTGCTTTCTTGCCTTTTCTCTGCCCACGCACTCACTGCAGCTGGGCAACATACAATGCCATCTCTGAGGAACGAGCTAGGATAAAGTCAGAATTCCATACTGATACAAAAAACATAGTTAAGACTCATTGTGGGATCAGTAAACCAACTTCTAACCGTGGTTTGACTAGCTAACCCTACATAGCCACAGTTAGTAGAGTGACCTACATTCAGAAATCACACAGGCCACAGTTGGCATAATTAGGCAATAGTTTTGTGTGATGCCAGGGCTTTTTTTCTGGGGGAAAGCGCTGGAACAGAGTTCCGGAACCTCTTCGACAAAATTCTTTTAAAAATCTTTAAACATTCATGAGTTTTCAATATACAGATTAAAAACTTCATTTCCCTCTTGAGAGTTACGGCCCCTCTTTTTCAAAAAAAAAAGAAAGAAAGGGGGGGGGAGCCCTGCCTGAACAGAGCCTAAATTTTAACATGAAACCGATGTCATGACTTTCCCCGTTTTCCAACCTACTGTGGAGGCGAAGGCTTCTCTGGTTTGGATAAAGGCACAGGTGGCTTCTCAGCAGACCCTTGAGATTTAGACAGTACCAGCTTGCCACATTCCCTCGGCGGTTTGGCATTTGCAGACATCACAGGAGAGTGCGTCCATCTGGGCTTGCTGCTTGGCAGTGGAGGTGGACCTTTTGCAGAAAGCTTTAAGACTTTTAGCTTCTCACTGTCTTCAGAAGTAGCTGCAGTGTGGGTGATGGACAGATGTGCAGCTGGTTGAGAGCCAGTCTGTACGAGGCCGGTGGGCTTCCTGGCTAGAGGAAGAGGAGGCACAGGTGATCCTGGGCCGCTTGTTTGCCGACACGTCAGCTGGGGTCTCACAGGACATTCAGCTCGGTAGGGAAAAGGAAGGTCACCTCTCATACACAGGAGAGCTTCGGGCTTCACATCAGGTAAGCTTTTCTTGGGGGGTGGCAGCGGAAGCACAGCCACACTGCTCTTGGCAGACAGCAAGCGTGCCCGGGTCTCTGAGTAGGAAGCCTTTCCCACCTGTGGGACTGGAGGAGGGGGGTATGCTGGTGGAAGGGCTGTGTGATCTGCATGTTTTAAAAAGCCAAAATAAAAGGGTCAGAACTATATCCAGGTCTGAATATCCATGTCCTTTGAACAAAAATGGAATTGGAAATGTGATTCCATGTTAGCAATAACCAGAAGCAGACTGTAACAATGTGCACAAAATATAACAAATACACGGCTGGTATGCAACAAGACAAAAACACAGGCATGATCATGAAAAGAAAACATTACAACATTTCTATCACATAAACGTTCTCCCTCCTTAAACTAAACACACTCCAACCTAATCTTACTGGTGCGAGGACCTGGGTTGGCAACTTGGTAGGTGGCTTTGACCTCAGGACTTAAGACTCCCCACATACCCCATGTGATCAAATGGGTCCCAGATCTATTTTGTATTCTACTGCTCCCCTTGTTACGACTGCCTTGGGGGTTAGGATCTATCCAAGAAATGTGTTCAGGTTGGGCCTAAAGCTGCACTCAGTTTTAATACCGACCCTTCCACTGCCTGCATAAAGGGCCCATGACTCTTAGCAGGAATTTTCTATTCCATCCCGAAAACCCTGCTCTGTGTCTTGGTCCAGGGGGGAGCAGGTGGTTGTTGAAAACAATAATTTCTCTGCATAGCCTCACGCCAATGCTGTTTTTAGGCAGATCAGCAAGTCTGAACAACACATGAGTGGTGACATCCAGGTCCTCTGTCCACACATCCCACTTGCCTGTCTGCCCAGCATGCACTGTGCAGAACCTCCATGCCCACTTTTGCCAGTGCAACAAAGAGAACATAAGAGAACATAAGAGATGCCAATGTTGGATCAGGCCAAAGGCCCATCCAGTCCAACACTCTGTATCACACAGTGGCCAGAAATACCAGGTGCCATCAGGAGGTCCACCAGTGGAGCCAGGACATTAGAGGGTCAAGCAGAAGCCAAGACTGCCCCCAGCAGCACCATGCCCAGCCAGCATCCTGGCACTGACCTCAGCACTTCACCCATGAAAACTTAGTAACTGCACCCTCCTTGAAAACCAATGCATCAATAATAGAGAGAAAAACCAGCACCCTGGGCCAATTACTGACGGCAGGCAGCCTGGCTCCCTAATTCAGAAAGCAGCAGCAGGTCACCAAGCGACTTCTCAGAACGTACAAGCAGCCCAGAGAACCACATTAAATAATAAATAAGAAAATTGTGAATAAATGGAGCTTTCGTTGCTTAAGATCTCCCCACCCCCGAAATGCAAGCAATGGAACACCAGGGAAATTAGCCCAGGCCCCTATTCCTGGCTTCTCTATCCCCAGCCCCAGCTGCCCTGCCCCAACTAGAGGTATGCCAAAACAAAATCAATATTTTTCAAGTTTGTATACATTGAACCCGAAAAATATTGGGAGGTGAAGAGTTACATTTCCTCAAGAATGGAGAGCTTTGAGTGACAGGCTACTCTAAGCACTCTGATTGGCCAGCTTCAGCTAAGGGCAAAAATCTTTATTAACTGGATGCTGAGGGAGGAGGGGCATTATTCTGACAGATTCCTGACTGGACTGAAGGGAGACAATTCTGTCCCTTAACTGTTGAAAATCTGCTCTGAGGATGAATTCAGTCAAAGGACTGAAATAGTCTCTCAACCTGTGCTGAAAGCAGTTTTACACACAGACACGAGAACTGGGAATGAGATTTAGGACGGTTGTTGGGTAGTGAGATGAGCCACCTTGCCTTTCACTGTGGACATCTAAATCCTTGTTACAGTGGTGTTTTCGATTAACCTATTAACCCGCTTCTCCTCTGACCTTCACACACAGGGCTCTGATTATTGGCCCACACTCAAATATTCTACACAAGTGTGGATGTGATCAACAGGATGCATGGAAATGTCAGAACTTCACAGTTCAACATACCTTCATAGTCTGCATTATCTGGCTGTAAGTATTCTTCTTCTTCATCCTGGTCATAATCTGAAATCAGGTTTCACACGTTAAGACAATGCAGCTTGAATGGCTGAAACACACGTCATGGCCTCTACTGCAACAGCCTTACAACAGGTTTACTACACAATCAGTTCAGTCAGGAGTGAATCTGGCTGGGATGGAAGTGACATCCCATAACATCCACACCCTTGTTGGGTGGGGAGACAGGAGTGTTCAGCTCCCAGAAAATCCAGAGAAAAAAAGCTGTGTACAGAAAGATGCTGAAACAGCACCAAGGTTAGAATAATAGAATCACAGAGTTGGAAGGGGCCATACAGACTATCTAGTCCGACCCCCTGCCCAGTGCAGGACCAGCCTAAAGCATCTCTGACAAATATTCATCCAGCCTCTTCTTGAAAGCTGCCAGTGAAGGGGAGCTAACCACCTCCCTAGGCAGCTGATTCCGCCTCTGAACCACTCTGACCATGAAAAAGTTTTCCCTAATATTCAGTCGATACCTTTCTACATATAATTTAAAGCCGTTGCTTCGGGTCCTATCCTCTGCTGCCAACTGGAACAGCTCCTTGCCCTCCTCCAAATGACAGCCTTTCAAATATTTAAAGAGAGCAATCATGTCCCCCCTCAATCGCCTCTTCTCCAAACTAAACATTCCCAAGGCCCTTAGCCTTTCTTCGTAGGGCTCAGTCTCCAGACCCCTGATCATCCTCATCGCTCTCTTCTGCACCCTCTCGATTTTGTCCACATCCTTTTTGAAGCGAGGCCTCTAGAACTGCAGACCATACTTGAGGTGCGGCCTGACCGAGGCAGTATACAGAGGGGCTATGACCTCCTGTGATTTCGATGCTATGGTGGGCCTTTTAATACAACCCAAGACTGGATTTGCCTTTTTTGCATCACACTGCATCACACTGACTGTTCATATTTAGTTTACAGTCCACTCTTACCCCAAGATATCTTGCACACACTACTCCCCAGAAACGTATCCCCCATCCAGTATTTGTGGTTGACATTTTTGTGGCCCAGATGTAATACTGTACATTTATCTTTCTTGAACTGCATCTTGTTTGCAACTGCCCACTTCTCCAGAGTATTCAGGTCTTGTTGAATTTTAACTCTATCTTCTTGGGTGTTTGCTGCTCCTCCCATTTTGGTATCATGAGCAAATTTAATGAGTAGCCCTTCTACCCCTTCATCCAGATCACTGATAAAAATATTGAAAAGTACCAGGCTCAAAACCGAGCCCTGCGGCACCCCACTGGACACCTCCCTCCTATCTGATGAAACGCCATTGACCACCACTCTTTGGGTGCAACTATAGTTGATTTTATAAAATACTTTTATGATTTTGAGCTTTACTATGTGCAAATTTGTCACTGCATCTTTTTGTCCACTTCTTGAAGGTAGATTTCTAGGGGGGTGCTGAGTAATTTTTTTTTCTGAAAAGGGGGTGGTAGGCCAAATAAGTTTGGGAACCTCTGATAGTACACTGCTAAAAATACTGAAAAGTAACGGGCCCAAAACCGAGCCCTGCAGCACCCCACTGGACACCTCCCTCCAATCTGATGAAACGCCACTGACCACCACTCTTTGGGTGCGGTCCTCCAACCAATTCCCTATCCACCAAACTGCCCTATAGTCAAGTCCACAGTCTTCCAGTTTGCCCATCAGAATGTCACGGGGAACCTTATCAAAAGCTTTACTGAAATCCAGGTAAATCACATCAACAGAGTTCCCACGATCCAGTAAGCTCGTCACACAATCAAAGAAGGAAACCAGATTGGTCTGACAAGATCTGTTGGGAACAAAACCATGCTGACTTCCCTGGATCACTAAGTGGTCCTTCAGATGCTTACAGACCTTTAAAATCTACTCTAATATCTTTCCAGCAACAGCAGTCAGACTGACCGGACTGTAGTTTCCCGGGTCATCCTTCTTCCCTTTCTTAAATATTGGGATAACATTCGCTCTCTCCCAATCTTGTGGCACATCTCCAGTCCTCCAGGAGGCCTTGAAGATGATGGACAGAGGCTCTGCGAGTTCCTTAGAAAGTTCTTTGAGCACTCTTGGGTGCACACCATCTGGCCCAGGGGATTTGTATTTGTCCAGGGTCCTCACCATGTGCTCTCCACTCCTTGCCTCGGGCCAGCTGACAATACATACAAATAGAGTGTCATAAACTTTCAAAGAGTACATACAATATCAGAAAAGTACAGTTAATTTTATATAGCAGAAGTTTTCATAGGGATCATATAGGAAAGTTTCTAAAACATACAGGTGTTTCAAAGTCATACAGGTATTTCAAACAAAGGTTCCGGATATTAATAACTTTGTTTCTGTGATCTTCTTCAGTAATAACTATTACATAAGCATCATTTTCATGAAAATCTGAGGTATGAGCATCTCAACATAGAATTAACTGTACTTTTTTGATATTGTATGTACTCTTTGAAGGTTTATGAAGGTCTATTTGTATGTATTGTTATTTTAATATACTAGCCTTTGTGCCGTTTCAGCGTCTTTCTGTACACAGCTTTTTTTCTCTGGATTTTGTATACTGCTGTGTGATCATCTCCTGCACACAACATCAGCTCCCAGAAAAGTCAGGTAACTCCAGCAAAGGACTAATAAGGCCAGAGAGAGCTCTGCTACTCACAGGGATCCCAAAATAGCACAGGCCTGTCCCAGTAGCAGCAACAGAAAACAAAAGTACAGACGGGAGGGACAATCTAAAAAATGACATTTAAAAAGGGAGGGGGGGGGTTCTAAGAAAGATCTATTTTAAAATGGTTCATGAAAATTAATACTGAATTAGTTACAAGAACAGATAAAAAGAAAATATTTTTAAAAAACTGATTAAAGACCTTGTCATTTTTGTTTATGTATTATAGTTTACCCTTATCCATTTTTGTAGTTATGCGAGTATTGATTTTCATAGAATCATAGAATCATAGAGTTGGAAGTGACCTTCAGGGTCATCTAGTCCAAGGCAGGAAATTCAAAATACCTCCCCCCCACACACACACCATCAGTGACTGCTGTTCCATGCCCAGAAGATGACAAAAAAAAAACCCCTAGGATCTCCAGCCCAACCCAAAATTATAATGATACTTTTCTCGGAGCACACCCCTAAAACTCAGTACATCACCTTCACTGATGGCAAATTTCAAAATTCTGTCCTCACCTGAATTTTCTGTTGAATGCTGAGAATAGTTGATGTTAATTGGGCGTTCTATTGAGCCATAGAAACTGTCAACATCTGATCCAGAGTCACTGAAAAAAGAGGGGGAAATGTTGTACAGTTAGGCCACAAGCACACTGGCCTTATGCGAATGATAAGACTAGAGCACACCAACCTGCAGAAACAGGAAACAACTTATTTGCTGTAATACTGGTTGATAACCTTTTCTATAAATAAGGTTGTTCTGTGGTCACTGGTGAAACTTCAGCAAAACTTTGAAAGTTGTTCAAAGGCAAGGAAGGAAATGCAAGGCAGCAAATGACGCTCTCACGGCCATGGCACTTGTACAACCACACTCAAGATGCTGCTGGCAGGAGAGCTGAGCTGACCAGCCCACAACCACAACTTTAGGCCACATGGACCAAGGATTTGCAAACAGAAATGACAACCAGCCCTGCAATGCTGTAAGCGGGCAAGATGAAAGCTACAGTACTCTGGAGCCTCTGGTGATTTACATATAAACCAAAAACAGAGTTTCAATAATCCCCTCTCCCATTTTTTTTTAAAGTTCTTTAATTATAACTACCTAACCATGCCAAACTCTTGATGGCCAGCAACACAATTCATAAAATTGTAACAGTGTTAGGACTACAAACAGCTGTTGAGAATGTAAAGCAGGTTTGTAAGGCTTTTCAAAAAGTGTTGCACGTAATCTTCCCTGAGGACTATTGCAATGGCTGCTATTTAAAGGCAAACACTTCTTCAGCTTTTACCAGTTTCAAGTAGCAAGGACTACTGAAAGAAAGAAATCCGTGCCCTGCGGGAGCTATTACCTTTCCGCAGGGCACGTAAGGCAGAGATGTTCTGCCAGGCTTTTGGCTGAGAAAAGTGACAGGACTTCTTCTGGCACTCTTGTGTGGTTCCTCCTTCCTCATAGCCCCTCCCCCCAGGGAGGCCAGGGAGTTAGGATTTTCCGCCATCTTAAGTATTGTCTATATATACTGTTTTTATTTAATGTTATTTATTGGACTGTTTTTAATGTAGTTATATGTGACTATATAATACTGTTGTAAGCCGCCCTGGGGAAGGGCGGCCTAGTAAATCAAATTATTTATCATCATCATCACCATCACCACCACCACCACTAATACAAATAATAATAATAATAATAATACTGTATAAAGAGCTCCTTAATACAAGTCACAAGAATGAATGAGAAGTTCAGGGCTGGAGGTGCAACCTTAAGTCAGCGATCGTTTCCTTCTTCTCGTGGTAGCGATCTATTTCTCTCCTAAGTGAGGCCATCCAGTCCTAGAAGACAAAAGACAGACTTTATTCCAAAGGAAGGTTTTTTCCTACCCAAGTAAACAATTTTGAACCAGACCAGACAGGTAGGCCACATCAGAATTACACATGCAGGTGGTCAGCCATGTTGGTCTGAAGCCGTAGAACAAATTTAGAGTCCGGTGGAGGCACCTTTAAGACCAACAAAGGTTTATTCAAGGTATCAGCTTTCGTGTGCACGCACGCATACAACGGAATGGCAGTCAAGGTTCAAACTTACAGATCGGCCTGAACAGCAAGTTAACATGTAACATGATGAAGATGTTTTAACATATGCGAAGAGAAAACTAAGTTAACAAGCTAAGGTCAACAGTTGAAAAGCAATACATCTCAAAATAAGATTGAGACTCTCCATTCACTCCTCTGGGCATGGAGGTCACTTAACAGCATTTTTTTCTTTGTTTGAGGTGGGTGTCGTGCAGTGTTCCCTCTAAGCTGAGTTAGTGTGAGCTAGCTCACAGTTTTTTAGCCTCCGGCTCACACATTTTCCTCTTAGCTCAGGAAAGATGGCTTCAGAGCAAACTAATTGATGCAGGAGCCACATCTCTTGCTCACAACTTTAATGCCAGGAGCTCACCAAGTAGAATTTTTGCTCACAAGACTCCACAGCTTAGAGGGAACATTGGTGTCGTGTATATGTCAGCCAAACATTCCACTATTCCTTGTATTACAGTCAGTATTCTATTTATTTATTTATTTATTCGTTTTTTATTCCGCCCTCTCTGTCGAGGCAGGCTCAGGGCAGCTTACATTAAAAGGTTAAAAATATATTAAAACACAAGCGCTTATACACCACAACCTCGTAAAGTACAAAACATACCAGATCATAGTGCAAAACAGAGTAAAGGATGTTCCAGAAAATGGCCCCCGTCAGTATCCAGCATAGCCAGATGTTGGTGTTAGCATAAAGGGCCTTAACAATTCAGTTAGTATTGTTGATGTTGTTAGTGGCAGCTCCTAATCGAAGGCCTGGTGGAACAGCTCTGTTTTACAGGCCCTTCCAGGAGCTCATTCCACCAGTGTGGCGCCACCACTGAAAAGGCCCTAGCCCTGGTAGAGGCCAGTCTGGCCACTTTCAGTCCAGGGAGGCCAAACTGACCTCAGTGCTCTCTGGGGAGCATGTGGGGAAAGGTGGTCCCTCAGGTAGGCAGGTCCCTGACCACAAAGGGCTTTAAAGGTCAAAACCAGCACCTTGAAGCGAATACGGTATGCTATTGGCAGCCAGCGTAATGCCGTTAGCACACAGGCAGACCCATCAACAGCCTGGCCACCACATTCTGCACCAGCTGCAGCTTCCGGAGTTGTGACAAGGGCAGCCCCATGTAGAGAGCATTGCAGTAGTCTAATCTCGAGGTGACCGTGTAGAGTGCATTGCAGCAGTCTAATCTCGAGGTGACCGTTGCATGGATCACTGTTGCCAGATCATTGCGTTCAAGGAAAGGAACCAGCTGCCTGAACAACCAAATATGGTAAAAGGCTGCCTTGGCAGTGGCAGTGGGCCTCCATCGTTAAGGAGGCATCCAGGAGCACTCCCAGACTCCTAACCCTCGGCGCGGTGCCCCATCGAAGGCCAGTAGCGGGATCCCTACCCCCGATCCACTCCGACTCAGGCACAGGACCTGTTAGGAAGACAAAACGGGGGAGAGGGCAGCCACGTACACTGCCCTGAGAGCCCCTCAAAGGAAGGGCACAATAAAGCAATCGGATTTACTACAATCTCAGGCATTCTGCTTACCTTCCAAGCCCTACAAGGCCAGGGGCCAGCATACCTTTGAGACCGCCTCTCCCCCTATGAGCCCCGTAGGGCACTGAGGTCCACCAATCAACATTTCTTAGTGGTCCCCGGCCCCAGGGGTGTCCGATTGGCCTCGATCAGGGCCAGGGCTTTTTCGGCCCTGGCCCCCACCTGGTGGCAT